ACAACCACATCTACACCGCACACCCATACAAGTGGCGACGCCAAGGGGGATTTGGAGGGAGGGGCAGAGCTCCCTCAGAAAAAGTTCAAGTTCTTACTAATTAAGGAACCAAGCCGCTCATAAAACTCGTTGAGACCCCTAAAAAATTTACAGAGAGGATTCTACGTCACTCCTCCCATCCAAGATCAAAATCCTAGCGCCGCCTCGAACCCACACACTAGTGTTGCCAGATGTCAAACTCGAAAATCCCGAAAATTCTAGAAAAACTTTCAAAACATACAGACTCCAGTAGCAACGAATGTAAACTGAAGAACAAAATTTCATTATCTATAGGCATCTTTTCCATTTCACGTTTTCATTTTCATTTTCATTTTCAAGAATTTTCTGCGTTGCTCTCTAGTATAGGTTTTCGCCGACATTTTTATTAATTCTACTTTCCCGTTCGATGTTTTCCATTCGACGTTTCCCTTTCTACGTTTTTACCTTCTGCATTTGCCTTCTCGGTGTTTTTCTTTTCTGCCTTTTCCGCCAATTCCATAAAAATAGGGCTTTCGTATAGAAAAAACTAAAAATTTCTGTTGCAAATATAGAAATAAGCAAGACTATTTTTCTGATTGCAGCTTATATTGGAAAGCATCTTTAGTTTAGAAGAGATTATATGAGTTTATTGAAGGTAAAGTGCATATGTGAGTTCCACATTTTAGCTTGGAAGTGGTGCACTAATAAGCTATTCGAAAAAGATATATAACTCACCTAATTTTTATGTTAAAATTTACAGATCAAAATCTTTCCTTTTAGATTCCAATGAACTATATGATAACTACTCCATCTCAACAACAAGTACAATCTCAAAAAGACGTTGATAATGATCCGACATTAAATCAAATGACTGTTCAATCATCAATCAACAACCGACAACAACAACAACAATCTATTGAAAAACAACTTGTTTTATTATTACATGCACATGGATGTCAACAACGTGAAACACAGACTATTGACGGTGAAACACCACCCTCAAGTACATGTACATTACCGCATTGTAGTAAGATGAAAAATGTTCTACAATATATGACAAAATGTGATGATCATAAATCATGTACAGTTACCGATTGTGCTACATCGAGACAAATTACTTTACATTGGAAACAATGTAAAAATTCACAATGTCCCATATGTCAACCGGTTAAAATATCATCAACATTAGCCAAACTAAATCAAGCACCAACTAATAATAATAGCACAACAACAGTATCACTGCCAATAAATAAAGAATGGCAACGATATGCAACACAAGAAATGCGAAATCATTCAGTACAAAAAATCATGACTGCACTGATACCAATAGCTGATACAGGTGCTATGCGGGATAAGCGTATTATTAATTTAGCTAATTATGCTCGACGCGTCGAAAGTGAAACATTCGAAATAGCCACTAATCAAGAAGAATATTTTCATAAATTAGCTGAAAAAATTCATAGAATCCAAAAAGAATTAGAAGAACGTCGAGAGAAAAAACGTGTACAAGACATGCAATTAGTTATACAACCATCGTCATCAACAATACCTGATTTTAATGCTAAAATGAATCCAGATCCCATAATTGATGATCGTATGCTATTACAAATTCGCACGACGACATCATTAAATGATTATCTATCATCAACTGCAAGTAATTCTTTTCAATGCACAACTAAATCTGAATCATTAATGGCATTAACAAATGTTCCGTCGAATGAAATTTTAAGTTTTCTTTTAAATAGAGATACAACAATTAGTAGTCAAGCGCATGATATGGATACTAAAAATAGTCTCAATGGAAATCAATTTAAGAACAAATTAAGCTGACTATCAGATTAAGAGTTTATATGAACTAATAAAAATAAACATTTTTTATCGTTCGAAAATCGTTGGCATTTGAGTTCATGACTTACGAACAAAATGTTTTCGAATTAGATACATGTATCAACGAGAAAATAAATCTAGTATTGATTTTCGAACGCATTGCTTTTAGTGAAATGAAATGAAGAATTAGTTTATTAGCATACGATCTGTTCGGAAGAAAGTCGAGTATATTTCTACGCTTATTTTAGGATAGTTCGTTGATATACTTGAAAACTTTATACGTCAAGGACAGCTTTTTTAGCTGAGAAATGAAATCTTTAATTCGTATATTTTTACTTATTTTTAGTCCGAGTCTAGATTTTTATTCGTATTTCCTAAAAATGCAAATACCCTTAATTATAGTTTTCATTTTGATACTCTATATAATTGAAGACCATGTTACTTTATTCTGTCAGGAGAAAAATTAAAATATCTCTTAATTTAGTCGATGCAATTTTCAACGCATGATACTTATTCTCATTTATCAACAGCTGCGGCATCAACAACAGTGACGATTAAATCTCAATCTTCCACAATCGATGACACGAAACAAACGCCTCCACAACTCGATGCATCAAGCAAACAATTACCTAAGCATTCCGTACAATTTACTGCCGATGAATTACGTGAACATCTTGAACCAGCTATTCAAAAAATGCTTCTCATCGAAGATTCCCATCCATTTCGACAGCCGATCGATCTCGTCGCACTCAATATACTTGATTATCCAACTATAGTTAAACATCCAATGGATATATCGACAATGCAAAATAGATTAAAACGTGGTCTCTATAAAACTCCATTAGAATTCTGTGGTGATGCATGGCTTTATAATAAGAAAACTGCACGTGTCTATAAAATGTGTACAAAACCATCGGGCATATTCGCCGATCCTGTTGTACAAAAATTGGGTTATTGTTGTGGTCGACAGTATGTATATTTACCACAAATTATGTTTTGTTATGGAAATCAACTGTGCTGTCAAATTCCACGCGAGGGCAATTATTATTATTATCACAATCCGGAACCATCGCGAATAAATTTATCTCTTGATAAATATACATTTTGTTGAAAATGTTTCGATTCAATCTATATCGGTGATGATCCAACTCAAACATTAGTTGAAATACCCAAATATTTATTCTTGTCATCAAAAAAAGATATACAAGAACCTGAAGCACTGATCGCCTGTATTGTTTGTACACGTCATTGGCATCGAGTTTGTGCATTACATTGGGTGTGGGTGTAGCTTGAATCACACTTGGCCCACCGACCCACACCCGCAGCTTGCTCCATAGAGAAAAGTGCAGCATTCAAGCAAAGAACGAGTTGACATTCGGCTTTTATAATGAGTTTATTTTAATTGATCAACATGATACAAATATATATAACTTTTTCAAAGTATTAACATTTGTCAAAAAAACAGAAGTTTTTTCACAAAATGAATAATTATAAGAAAGCAAAATATTTATGAAAACTTTGTGAACCAACAAATAATTCAAGTATATGAAGACCTTTTAATTTGTCGAAATTGAGGCGTACCACATCATTGGTAAAATTATTTGTTATTTTTGCGAGCGACTCGTATCGAATGTAGAGATTTAAAAAATTAGGCAGATGAGTATATTTCTTCAAAAGAAATTGTTCAACATAATTTACATGTGCAAACTGTAAATGCAGAAGTGTAAGATGTGGAAAAGTTATAAATGGAAACGAATCTTCCTTATATTGTTGTGATTCATCATTATATATATATATATATTTAGATGTTGTAGAAAAGGAAAATCTTGTGAAACAAGTTTGAATAATTTATGTTTAAACGGACGCGTATCTACCATCATCAAGTTTCGAACTTTACGAAACATGCCACCTGGAAAAGAAATGTTGAGATCATGAAAATATTCAAATTCATATGGAAATGAATCGATATGACATTCGCCTTTAGTATCCGTTGACCTTGTATGAACATATGAATCAACTTGACCATATTTTTTTCCGATAAAACTACGTTGAATGTTTTCATTTGATGAAAGATTAATTCTAATATTCTTATTAACAACACGTGTCTTTATACTGAATGTAAATTTATTTAATCTTGGCGTATAAATAAGAATTTGATCATATAATTGAATACCATCAATATAAATCGAATCAAATCTTCTTACGAATAAATATAATTTCAATTCTTCAAGATTTATCATTCGATGAAGTAACGGACAAACTAGATCATCATAATAAGATGTGTAATTATATGAAATTAATGAGAAATATTTCAATTTGGGAAGTTTTGTCTATAACGAAAAAATAATATTAACAATATCTATTCTTCAGGTATTTTTTTAAAAGACGGCCACAATTATCTCCAAATTAGGAACTGATACCATTAGTATATTGAACTTTGCGAGTAATTCTTCAAACACTCATCAACATCCAAAATAAATTTCGGATTTACATTTTTTTTTTCAACCTAGGATCAGTTATAGATTTTGGCAATTAGTGGGTCTACTCGATTTATGTATGTATATACCGAAAATATTAGGCTTTTATATTGTAGTATAAGAAAAATAGCAAAGACACATTTTTCCGATTTTTATTCCTATTATTAAACTTTTCAATTTCTCAGCCACCTGCGAAGTCTCACTAATAGGGACAAAAATCGAGAAAATGTGTTCTTTCTTTTCTTCTTATATTATAAGAGAAAGGCCTGATCTTTTGGATATGTACGTAACTTGAGAAGGCCTACTTACTGCCAAAGCCTTTGAGAGATCGTAGGTCCAAAAAAAAAAATTGTGTGCATTGGAAATTACTTTTTATGTTTGAACTATTTTGGGAGATCATGAGTGTTCATAGAAATAGCTTGCCAAGTTTCATATACTATAATGGTACAAGTTCCCAATTTGGGATGATCGTCTCTTTTACAAATATCTGTGTTTTTCTATAAAACAATGACTAAAATTGTACTTACAATGTTATCTGTGTTCGATATTGTAGACGAAATTTGGGTTATCTCAATAGTTAATGTTGATAAACAATTTAGACGTCCATCAAGAAGATCAAGACAATCATCAATAATTTCAACATGAATTTTCAAATTAGTTAAAGTTCAAAACATGAATGGTAGATTATAAATACTAATTGGCAAATCTTGATCAGAAAAGTAACAAAAATTTAAATTGATCAATCGTTTGCATAAAGATAAAATAGATGTAAAAAAATATGTTCGAACCATCGAGTACTCTTTCGGTGTCTTGTTTAGAATTTATTTGTAATGCTTTTATTTCATCGAGAAGTGTGTGGTGTGTCCTCACGCTTCGGTGTCATGGACGAACATCGTCCCTGTGACAAAAAAAGAAAACCACATAAATTGCACACGTTTAAATTGTAGCTGACAATTACGAAAAGAATTAGTACAAATCGCAGTAACATCGACTTTTCGATAAATAAGAAGGAGAAAAAAAAGAGACAACCACGTACAGACGAGAGAGAAAAAAAAAGAAGAAAAGAATAAAAGGGAAGGGGACATAAATGGATTTGACGTTTCTTTAGTGCAGATACAGATCAGGAAACAAAATGATACACATCAATTTCACCGTTATCAGAGATCCTTTACAATATCGTTAACATAATCAGAAGCAGAAAGTACAATCAAATAAAGAGGTTTTTGGTGTGTTTATTAAATTAATTATTTTTTATTCGTTCTTCCTCTGTTGAATATTTTTCGTTTTTCTTTCAGTAAGTTGGGATTTTTAAAGTATTCCTGCATATACAACAGGTACATTTTATGTTGAATAAAATCGCCGATTACCATTTATTTTACCGTTTGTTTTTGTTTATCTATAATATTTGATATTCATGGATCGTTGGGTATATAAGATAATTGATAATCAGATGGATGATTTGCAGATGATGTATTGATGATAAATGAAATGATATTGCTTGCGGCAATTGAGCGATTAAAATTCAGTGTCATCTACCCCAATTTGTTTTTTTTTCTTTTTCGTTGTTGTTGAGGCGAATAATGTATGTTTTCAATTGCGCTCCAGATACGGTTAACAACTAAATTTTGCTGATTTCATGTATTATATAGCAGGTATATAACTTTTGTTAATATGATGAGTCGCCACGCAGTAGAAGTGTACCACTTCCATGTCATTCTTCTCACGGATGACTCGACTGTTAGGTCGGCTGGGTCGTTCTCGCAGCTATTCAAATATTTAATTTTCAAGTTCTTTTGTTCATATAATTATTTCTATTTTTCATAAAAATTCTTGCCAACGTTTGTCCACCGGAGGTCACCGCCGTTCATACCGTTGAGGAGGTTCATCAATATATAAATTAAATTCATACTTGCTACTTCACACACTTCACAGCAGTTGATAGCTGTTTAGCTTTGATTGACTTGTTGAATCACCTTCATAATATTATAGTTGTTGACAAAGACTAACTTCGAGAAGATTTTGCAGGATTCATTAGCCAGGGTCGCCATGTAATGAACAACTCGATTAGATTAGCTTGTGCCACTCTCGGCAAAGATGTTTATTAGGCTACTTCAAGTTATCCAGAGTGTAACGACAAAACTAGAGTGTCGCCTATGCCCGTCGGCATGGTGGTGTATTGTGTCATCTGACATCTCCAGAGTGTAACAACTTCATACATGACGCACGTATATATAGGAGAGAGATAGAAGAGAGACAGGAGAGATATACATTAGAACAATGGAAAGAGAACAGAAAGAGAAGGAAGGAGAATCATCGAAGCGTACCATCACTATCGGCACAGACGTGACTAGTTGTTTATTGATCAAGAATTGTTATAAAAAAAGCAAAGCACTCATATTTAAATATACGAAGCATCATACAGAATAGAAAATATTGACGAAAATTGAGAACGTGATGAAAACAAAGCAGTCCAGAGAATGTCCACTGAATAAGAATAGATAACTACTTAACTCATACAAGAATTTCTTTTCAGTTTTACATAATAAAACAATTGAAAAATTTACATTGCAATCATGTTTTATACACTCTATCGTTTTTATCTTTACTCGTTTAGTTAAATAGCCTCACCGGCTTAGGAAATGATTGATTTGAAAGAAATATTTTTGAGAATAGTTGCACTCCATTTAAGCTTATCAAATATTGAATTATAAATATTGCTTCCATTCAAAAGAGAAAAATATTCATGAATAATTAGCTTTCTTTCACCAAAATAAAACGTTGAATCACTTTATTTATACTAATATATATCTATATACAAATAACTTTTTAAAAAGTTCACGAAATTACAAGAGAAAAGTTATCCAAACACCATCTGACATAGAATCATATACATCAAAAAAGAAATACAATTGAGGTTTCAATTACATATTTATATATCACAATGTATTTCTAGCAGCTGACAATCGATGGGCATGTTTCTTTGAAAAGAACGTATTTAATAGCTTCGAGAACATTAAGTTTAATTGTCGTTGGTAGTTTCCATGGATTCTTACCAT